GTCCCGGACTAGAAAGCAATAGATTTCTTGCTTCTGCCACAAATTCCCCCAGCTGTGAGCCTTCCAACCTTCTAAGTATTCCTTTATATGCAGTTCAGAGTTCTGGGACCATCCCCTGAACCTGCTTGGTCCAGTATTCTGTGTTGTTGTTGGCGGAGGTCTCTGCTATACGTCCACCCAATCCGCCATCTTGTTTGTTCTTTTCGCCTACTTACTTTTGAGATATTATAGGACTCAGACTACTCCAGCCCATTGTACCTGACTCACTGTTGAAATGTGCAAAAACCCCTTCCACTTTCAGTGTTGTTCTCTAGAGGACTGTCCTAGGATTTCCTGTTACTTGCTATGGTGGTGCTGTGGGATAAGCACTGGACTGCTAACCACAAGGTCGGCAGTTCAAATTTACCAGCAGCTCTGTGGGAGAAAGATGAAACTTTTTGCTCCTGTATAGATTGATAGCCCCGGAAGTCCCATACAGGGTCTCTGTCTCTGTGATTCAGAACTGAGCTGATGGCCCACAACTGCAACGAGCTGCTTTGGGGTTTTCAGGTCAGTCAGTACCGTCTGCCTCCTTTTCCCTCCTGCACAGATGTTGATAGATTGCAGGTTCCAGCTTCTACATGGAGGTTCCTAGGAGTGCATACCATAAGGAGCCCTTGTGGCGCTGTAGTATAAGCACTGGACTGCTAACCCTAAGGTCAACAGTTCAAACCAACCCACAGCTGCTATGCAAAAGAAAGATGAGCAGATGAGGCTGTTTGTTCCTGTCACTTTAAGTCCGAATCTGCTTGATGACAGTGGGTGGTGTTTATGTGGCACCTAGGTTTTTGTTTGTTGTTGTTGTTTTTAGCTGTTGTTCATAATTTTTTTTTATTTTGTTTTTTTAATGTTTTATTGTGAATTTTGTAATAGTTTACATAGGAGAACATTAGCTTTACATTCATCCTATTGTATATCATTTCATTGCCATGGTTACAATCCCCTCCATGCATCATCAACTAACCAATCATCCATACCTACATTGTTTCTGAATTCTGATGATTTTACTTCTCTTATACTGATACCTTGGTTACGAATCGGGCTGTGAACCTTAAGGTCAGCGGTTCGAAACTACCAGCCGCTCCGTGGGAGAAAGATGAGGCTTTCTACTCCCATAAAGATTTACACCCTCGGAAACCCTGTACAGGGTCGCTATGGGTCGGAATCGATTCGACGGCACTTCACAATCATACTGATACCTTATGATTTTTAGGGCCTTCCGTTAATCTGTTCTTCCACTTCATGGCCTGCCTTTTTTTCTCCCTCTCCTTCCTTTCATCCTTGTTTTGCCTCCTAAAATACTTGTACTTCTTTATATATACAAATTATTACTATTATTTCCCACATATGCTGTGCATTTTAATTGTTCCCTTAGCTTGGAATGCGTACCTCTGTGTTCTACTTAACCATCATCCCTCGATCAAATGTCATTTCTTTAAAGTCTTTTCCAATTGCCATTCTAGAACATTTTTAATATGCTTCATTTATATTATCACTTGTATGCTTACTTGTCTCTTTTCCTCCCATATGGATTCTAATCTCTTCTTTCTTATTTTTATATTTATTCAGAGTGCTTGGTCTCTAGCAGGCAACAAGTGAATGTGTTTTCTTAAAGCATCACATTTTGTTTAGTCACAGATTATTTCATGAACTCTTTATGTTGATAATCCCTAGAAAGTAGTCTTTAAGACCTGTCAAGACATTGAGGTTTCTCTTGTTTTAAAGGAAATGCGAACTACTACTAAAATCAAAACATGAATAAAATGTTCTTTTCTAATGGAATTTTCAGTAGTAACATTCTAAGCAGTCTTTCTTTTGCTTTTGCACCTTTTAGGCTGGATCAGTGCATGTGAGAATCCGGCGAGATGCGAATGAACAAATGGTTCTTGCTCACGTGACCAACAGGCTATACACTCTGGTGTCTACTCTGACTGTTCAGATTTTCAAGGATGATTGGATTAGGCCTGCCTTACTGTCTGGGCCTGTTGCAGCCAATGTCCTCAACTTTTCAGATCATCATGTAATCCCAATGCCTCCTCTAAAGAGCAGTGATGATTTGAATCCTGTCACATCAACTCCAGCTAAGCTTAGTAGTCCACCTCCGGAATTTTCATTTAACACCCCTGGAAAAAATATGAGCCCAGTTATTCTTTTAAACACCCAAACAAGACCTTATGGGTTAGGTCTTAATCATGGATACACACCTTATAGCAGCATGCTGAATCAAGGACTTGGAGTTCCAGGAATTGGAGCAACCCAAGGTTTCAGGACTGGCTTTATAAATATACCAAATAGATATGGAACTAACAATAGAATTGGACAACCAAGACCTTAATGTACTCTAGTTTCTTTTAATTTATTTTTATGAAGAATTTTGACTTCTTAACCTCTGATTTGTTGTTATCCAACTTTGCATTGACTGATCAATGGTTTACTGTAAATGTTAGAGACTAGTTATCTTGTTCACATTTCACAAAACCTATGAAACTATATTTTTGTAAGATGTATGTGGGCCAGTGAGATCCTTCTAAATGTAACAGACTTTAAACAAGCTTACTTAAGAAATCTTGCTTCTCTCAATTTGAATTTTGCTATCTGCGTTTTGCTGTCTACAGTTGACTGCCATGAAGACGTTAGCTTTTTAAGAGACCCGCCTAATTGTCACGTAATTATAAAAATGCAGTATTTTCTTCAATGAAATTTATAAACATGCTTCTTGAATTAGTACATTTTAAGAAAGGAAATAAAAACCTATTCTGAAAGTAAAAGCCAATTTTATGGCTTTCAAATTTATTTGCTACTTTTTCTCTTTTTTTGTGAGCCTTCTGAACTATATTTTGCAAAGTAAAAAAGCAAACTTTTTAAAATTCGACTATTTAGAACACATCTACTATCTAACCAATTTCAAAACTCATAATTACCAGATTGGTTTTTTGCTTTGTTTTGTTTTCTCGTTGGAAAATTTTAGTACAATTTGTAAATAGTTCTTGTTCTTCAATGTCTTATTTTGATTAAATGAGTACCAAATCTTCTGGTAGTATGCAATGAAAAGATATCAGTTTTCTGATTTTGCATATAACTGAATACTGACATATGTGGAATTTATCTTTTTTGTCAACTTTTTATTATTTGACTTTTAAATTTTTTATTATCAAAATTTATTAAATATATGGAATTCCATATATAATCTGGACTGTGGTATCTTCTTAGAGTTACATAAGCAATTTTGAGTTTATAATCTTTACATAATTTTACCAAAACCTAAAAACCTTATAGTATTTTCTTAGGTCTGGAGCAAGCAGTTTCTAATTTATTTTTGTTTTACTTTGCCAAAAATAATGAACTTTTAACTGTCAGGAAGTATGAAAATCATGTAGATTATTTTATCTATTTTGATTATTTTCCAAATGCAAATTTGGAGAACTTTCCATCATGCTTTGTATTACAAAAAAAAATAGCAATTAACAGTCACAAATTACTTGTGAGATTTATTCATTTTATCATGAAATCTATGACAGAAACTTGAAAGTTAGGGAGACTTTGAGTCTATACCACATTCCTAGAATCCAGTACTCCTAGAGATATATGACTTTCCTATCTATTGGCCAGTTATCCAGAGAGTTTTGCTTTTGTAGAATTTGTTATAGGTTCTTTAGTCGTTTAAACATAAACAACACTTCCAAATTGTATTTCCTCAAGGTGGAGTAACCAACATCCAAGAAGTTGCCTCTGACAGGTAGAGTTACAGTCATCTTATGGTAATTAGGAATCATGTGTGAAATAACTTCTGCAGAGTGATGGACCCACCATTGTCTTTGACATCTGCAACTTTATTCAGGCAGTTTTTTGACCTGCTAAAGATGTGGAGACCACACGACCTGACTGCTAGGGAAAAGGAAACTTTGTAATATGCTGTAAAGCAACTTGTTCCTTGTCCTTTGTCTGTGTTCTCCAACAATTACTATCCTTATTATTGGTCTACCACAGGGTAATTTTTCCTCTATTGACCTCAACTAAATGTGAATGGAGTCACGCATGAAATCTGACGAACTGCTATGGACTAAGTAATGATTAAGAACTATGTGCGACCAGCCCAGGCATGTTTTCTCCATCCCCATGGAATTTAGAAAGGGTTCACATACTAACCACACTTCTGCCTACTTTCTCAATGCCTATTCAGAGACAGTACCGTGCAGCTGTCCCACCAAAGGGGCTTTACGATCAGCTTCTTCTATCTGAGAATGGGTATTAGAGTAGCCTGTGGTTTCTAAAAGAAATTCTGTAATGCCAACTGCTGCAGCTCACATTGGCCCATGCTTTATTATATGTTTTTGTTGTTAGGTGCCATCGAGTCAGTACTGACTCATAGCGACCTTATGCACAGCAGAACGAAACACTGCCTGATCCTGGGCCAAGCTCACATTCGTTGCCATGCTTGAGCCCATTGATGCTGCCACTTTACCAATCCATCTCACTGGAGGTCTTCCTCTTTTTCTCTAACCCTCCACCCTACCAAACATGATACCCTTCTCCAGCGACTGGTTCCTCCTGACAATATGTCTGAAGTATGACAGACAAAGTTTTGCCCTCCTGGCCTCTAAGGAGCACTCTGGCTGCACTTCTTCTAACACAGATCTGTTGGTTCTTTTGGAAGTCCATGGTACTGTTCAATATTCTCCTCCAACACCATCACTCAAACGCATCAATTATTCTACAGTCTTCCTTATTCACTGTCCAACTTTGGCATGCATATGAGGTTATTGAAAATACCATGGCTTGGGTCAGGCGCACCTAAGTCCTCAAGCTGACATCTTGGCTCTTCACTTTAAAAAAGGTCTTGTGCAGCAGATTTGCCTAATGCAATATGTCGTTTGATTTCTTGACTGCTGCTTCCATGAGTGGTGAAGGTTTACTCAAAAAGAAAGAAGTCCTTGACAACTTCAATCTTTTCTCCATTGATAAGAATGTTGTTTATTGGTCCAGTGATGAGGATTTTTGTTTTCTTTACATTGATATGCAATACATACCGAAGGCTGTGGTCTTTGATCTTCATCAGTAAATATTTTAAGTCTTCTTTACTTTGAGCAAACAAGGTTGTATTATCTGCATATCATAGGTTGTTAATGAGTCTTCCTTCAATCTTGATGCCACGTTTTTCTTCATTGAACCCAGCTTCTCGGATTATTTGCTCAGCATGCAG